TCGAGTTCCTCTTCGCTCATGCGGTAGATACATCCACGCGGAGGGACAGCGTCAGCCTCGAGAGTGATCCCGTGACGTATGGGCCGATCCGGAACCGTTCCGGTGGGAGCCTCGAAGACGTCTCTATACTCGTCCAAGAGGTGAGAAATGCGTGGGTCCGGCGGTGACGCGGCTGGTCCATCCGGCGAGGGGAGAGCATGCAAGAATACAAGGCCCATCTCCTCGACGTCCTTCCGAGCAATGGCGTCGCGAATTCTCGCAACGGAAACCACGTGACAAGCAATCGAAGTGTGAGGGGTCGCGACCGTACATGGGACTAACACTCCGTTCCGATCACGGATGTGAACGGTTCGGTCATGGAAGTTGACCGGATGATCGGCGCTACGCAACCAAGACATGCCTAGAATCATGTCGAACTTGGTGTCGAGGATGTCAAAAGACACCTGCTCGCACGCAAGTGGCGCAAAGTATACCGGAACGCCGTCGACGCATCGGTCAATTGACTTTTGCGTGCGGCCGTCCGCGAGTGTAACTTGCGTAGGTTGCATCTTCCTTCGAACGCGCGGGCCAAGACCTGCGCGGGCCATAAAGGCTTGGCTCATAAAGTTGCGAGATGCTCCGCAATCAATCAAGGCACTACAGGTTGCCTTTCCGATCTGAATGCGGATATAGAGCAAAGGCGCGTCGGTTTCCGCGTACCTTTGGGTGGCGTACTCGCGGTCAATCTTCGCAAGATAGGAGCGGAGATCGACAACCGCTACTCCGTCGTCCGTCAACGGAGCTGGTACTGTAGCGTGCAAATAGGAGCGTAGAGTTGCCATCAAGGCGTTGCAATGCGGCCTTGGCAAGGTTCCGGTCGAGGGTAGAGGCATCCAAGTGAAGTCCTCTCTCGTGAGCGGGTCAAGCTCCTCAATTCTTGACCACGCCGTCGAGTCCTCGGAAATCAGTGGCGAACTGACCGGATCACTTGCCGGCGGTGTACAGGCTGCACATACGCAATCTAAGTGCACGTGGCTTGGCTGGTCTAGTGGTGGTAACAGCTGGGCGGCATAATCCTCGTACGTAGCACGAGAATCAGCGACTAACGCATGCTCGCCGGTAATGACATCGATTGCTAGCAAGGCAACCGGTTCCGGCGGAATGAGGAGAGACGTCGCCCCTCTCCTTGCGTAACTCAGTTTCCCGAGTTTGCTGGACGGGGTACGCGTGCCTTGCCCTTTTCGGGGCATTGTGTGGTCACACGAGTGACGCCGTTGCACCAAAGGCAGTATCCGTACTTTTGACGAAGGTCATAGACATCGTTGGTTATCTTGTAAGCCGTCCATGGCTGCTGCCCAGTTCCCGTCAATGTTGTCTCTTGTGTCGCCTTGTTCTTCCGAACTCTCTTGGGACGCTTCGGCGGGAGCGCTGCTACAATTCCTCCATCACTCGAGGATGCTGCTGCAGCGTGGAGATCGTCTATTTCTTCATAAATCACGGCATTGTTATGTGTCGGACGTTGATAGCCATGCTTAGCCACATAATGCGGCTGGGACTGCCGTTCGTTTGTGGCCTTGTCATCCGTTTGGATGACCAAGTTTGCACGATCGAGAATGGCCTGGAATGAATCGTAATCGTACTCGTTGCCGAGTGCCGATCGCAGTCCTGCGCACGATCGCGAGAAGAACTCGGCTCGTTGATTGGTAAAACTCAAATCGAAGCCTGGCGTGGTCACTACCTTTCTGCCACTTAGTTGTCCAGTCTCGAGTTGGCATACTACCTTGAGAGCAGGCGTACACCTCGTTCATGGCGGCCTTCACGACGTTGCGAACCATGAACCGGGTGAGCCATAGCTTCTCAAACTCCTTCCACGTAATGTGCGTGTGGAGTTCGGCGATGGTGCATTTGTTGGTAGCAGATGGTTCATCCATGCCTGCGCTCCTCCAATCAGTTGCAAATAGAGCGCCTTCATCATGTCGTCCGCCGGGACAGTGCGACATGATGCTTCCGTGAGGAAACGCTGCCACCATGTCACGGCGTCCGACTTGTTGTAGTCGTCGAACTTGCTGATGTCGAAGTGCGGCATCTTGTAAGTCTTCGTAGCGGCGTCTGGTCTCGTCTGTAGCTTGGTGATGTCCGTCTTGATGGCGGCCACCGTGCTACTGATCGTGTCCGGCCCATTGAAAGCATCTATGTCGCCGATGAGGTTGACGACATGATCGATGCGCCCATTGAGCTGCTTCGTCTCGTCTGTCGTGCAGCCTGGCGCTGCTGAGGCCTTGGCCTCAATGCCGTTGATGCATGCGATGGTAGAATTCAACAGCTGTTGCTGTTGCTGCTGCTGCATTGCTGCGTCGCGGACGGCAGTCGTTACAGCGGCCAGGTCTTGCTGGTACTGCTGTCTTTGCTGTCGTTCCACGTGCAGGTGTGCCTGCAGTAGTTTGTTGTTCCACATTACTCCCCTCATTACGTTCAACATCACAGTAGCCAGGTTACTTCTCTCTGCCTCCGCCTGTGTCGGCTCCGCCTGCGTTTCCGTAGGCACAAAGAACATGCCTTGGAGTATCGTTGTCCACTGATGCTCACAAGCGATCAAGGACTCCGTGCTGGTGGCATTCCGTCGGTCTCGTGCCGCTGCGTCAGCCTCAGCAGTTTGCTGAGCTTGGGCTGTTGCCTCATTCGCCAGCCGCTGACGTTCAGTTTCTGCTGCCTCCTCTTGTGCCTTTGCGGTAGCCACGGCATCTGTGAATGCCTGTACCCGCTGAAGGTAAGCTGCCAACGGCTCACCGGCCCCTTGGACCGGGCATGCGGGAAGAATCGCGGTGGTCACTGGTACTGTCATTGCTGTACTTGATGCCGTTGAAGTCTTCCGCTTGCTGAGTCGTTGTTGCTGAGCCTTGTTTCGTGGAGGGAACACCGAGCGGCCACGAACTGCAAGCCTGGCACTGCGTCGTGGCAGTGCCCCGGTGTCCTGTTCCATTGACATCAGTCTGAACTGGTGTGGTAGTTGAGAAGTCCCGGTGGTCACAGATTACGGGGAGGGTAGAGAGAGAGTGGGCACAGGGGTAGAACAATCAAACAATACACATGCAGTCCCCTGTCCCACTGATGGACTGTAGACACCTAATCAAAACAGAAAAATAAATTTCCCGTAAACAATTCAAAAATTCGAAATAAGAAATAAAATTAACGAATTATTTAATCAATAAAGCTTAATTAATGACAAATAACGAAATAATAATTCTTAATGATAATCAATAAAACAATGTTTGTAAAGATAATCAATAACCAATATTTGCAATAAAGATAATCAATACGAATTTGAATTGTATCAAGATTAGGTATCCTAGAGATCAATTCTGGTCCGGGAGTTCACCGTTAATTAGTGAACTACCCGGGAGTTGCAATACTGAGGGTCAGAGTCTGATGAGTTTGCCAAAAAAAAAAATTCGGACAAAATCAGGAGAAAAACACTCGAATTTCCAAAAACGTGAATTTTCGGGGATTTCCGCCGTCAAAATCCGATTTTTAAAGGCCTAAACCTGTTTTCGGAATTTCTCAAACAAGGGGAACGAAAAAAAAATTCGCGAAAATTTTGGTTCCAACCCTAATTTCCCGCGTTTCGGCGGAATTTCCGGATTTACGGTCCCAAAAACGTTCGAATTCCCCAAGTTGATCTAAAACCCAAAAGATTTTCGTAACCCTAATTTCCAATACTGAAAGACAACGGAAATACCAAAAAAGAACGAATTATAGGATTTACAACAGAATGTCGAAATACGGAAAGCTGAATGGAAATCAGAATGCCGAATTTCAAACAGGATACTGGTTCAACCCTAATACGTTTAAAATCAGAACTCCGAATCTTGACAAATTATCGGATTAGTATTACTCAATCGGAACCCAAATAACAGCATACCGGGAGAAAACAGAAATCCGAATTATAAGTCCGAATACCGAATTGAAGCGGCAATGCCGAAATAAATAGAATACCGAAAAAGAAAAAAAAAATTCGCAACTTTGAACTCGATAGTAATTCAGAGCTGATTCGGATGATTGAAACAACAATCTACTTCCTAATCAGACTTACCTGGTGAGCAGATCCGTGAAATGGTCTGCTCCGATACCAAAACTGTTACATACTTCAATGAGTATGGGCAGAACCAAAGATCAACCAATATAGGATGAGCATATATGCAGCGGAAGTCTGATAAACGGACTGACTCACATAGACTGACTCAAGAATTCACTCCACAYACATACAATCGTGAGATGGTGGGGTCTGGGCCAAGCATGGACGATGCCCAGATCCCRTACACACATACACAGATGAAAGGTGGGAGGAGAGACGAAGGAGGTGGGGGAGGTAGACAGCACCGGTAGGTCACCGAGATAGAATCCGATAGGTCAYCGATATGGTAGTCCAAAGTGTCATCCAACAAGATCAAAATGTCGAGGACAATCAGTCACCCATGTCGGAGATACAGAGTCCAAATGTAACCGGTGTCCGAACTGTGATGCCGCCAAGTATCAACCCCAACAATCTCCAAGTCTCCAATCCGGTAAGTACCACAGTCTCATACCACCGAAGTCCAACACTGATCTCTGTCCACTAGTATAAGTATCCAATCTGAAGAAGAAGAAGAAGAAGAAGAAGAAGAAGAAGAAGAAGAAGAAGAAGAAGAAGAAGAATAAGAAGAAGATGGAGTCTGAAGAGAAGAAGGAGAAGAAGAAGAAGAAGAAGAAGAGAGAGTCGAGGAGGAGCGAGAGAGAGAGAGGGGACTGACGATGGGAGGGAGGAGAGAACCTCCAGCTCCCTGATACCTCAGGCGGCGATGGCCGCCGRTCTGGCTCAGTCRCCCTGCTGCTGCTCCGCTCGCCGCTGCTGCGCTAATGCTGCGCTACTGCTGCCTGCTCCTCGCTCCTGCGCTAAGAATAGCGCCAGCGCTAATGTGCGCTGTACCATACCGTACCGGTAGAATGCCGGTAGGTCGATAGCCTCACTGAGGCTGGACCGGTACTTTTGTACCGGTGGGCAGAGGTCGGCCTCTATGCTGCGAGGCCTGACCGTGCCCTGAACCGTCCAGATGGACGGTTCAGCCCCAACCGGCGGGCGGCAGCCTCAAGAGCGCCGCCAGGCCCAAACGGTAATATCGTTTGGGCCGGCCCGTCGGGTCTGGTCCAAGGTAAGGCCTTTACGGCCTGTAGTACCCCCAAGGTCGGGCCTTTGGCCCTACTGTGTCCCTCTACCCCTATGCCGGGTCCGGTAGGACCCGTGTGGCGTCGAAGATGTAACAGCAGACCAACGCCGCACAGAAGTATAAATCAAGAGGCTGCGTCCAGCCATTCATTCATTCCTGCGGATGCCATGCGGAAGCGCTGCCTCAGCAGCTTGTGCGAGGAGGTCTGCAGTGCGCCCGAAGTCGAAGTGGGCAGTGAAGTGTAGTATAGCAATAGGGTAGTGGCAGCTAGCGCTGCCATAGCTGTAGTACAGTGTGTGTGTGTGTGTTGCGTATGAGCGCTGAGTGTTGCGTGTGGGACATCCAGGGTGATCCAGAGTGCGAACAGTGAGTTGTGTGGGCGCAGAGCCACCATAGCCAGTTGAAGAGAACTCTTATCCGGTTACGATATCTTTGAGTACTGTGTGGGCGCATGTCGCCAGTTTGCTGTATCGCTGTTTGCATGCAAGACAAGTGTGAATAATCCGAGTCTGATTGCACACAGACGAAGAGGAAAAGGGGAGAATAGACAAAGGAGAGAGAAGAAGACAACAGCCCACTTCTGCTTCGGGTCCCTCCTCCTGCTCGCCACCTCATCAATCAATAGACTAAATACAATGTCTGAAGTTCTTTCTCAATGTGCCATGTGGCACGTCAATCTGTCTACATCAGCGAACTGGAGAGTATCGTCATCAACCAGGTACGTATCCTCGTTAACCACAGTCTTCATCCCCTTCCGAAGTGACGAAGAATCAGAACAGCCTCTTCAATCATGTAGCCCGCCACATCATCAACATATACAGGTGGCAGCGGCCACGTCAGCAATGGCGCATGGCAGCTGCCACRTCARSATGCCCAGAAGACCATCGCCAGCCAGCCACTATGCCAGCCAGYAGCGCCTTGCYGTCCTCCTCCTATGCCAGCATARAGCCRGCGTCAAGCCAATGTCGCAGCGTCACAGCGTYGCAGCGTCAATGTCRAAGTCAATGCGTGCAGCATTGACACAAGACCGAATGCCCYTCCAGCCAGGAAGTCAACTCTTAAGTAGCGTGGATGCGGGGTCTGGACCCCGGGTGCCGAAGTCCTGCACCATCCAGATCTCGATGTGAATGAGGGCCCAGATTGGCCAGAAACTGTATTCCTCCCGCCCTGAATGCTGTCTGGGTACCTGCACACAACAAGTGAATGTATCCGACCATAGGCCTGGGCGCGGTACCTTTGACTCTACAGTTGACTTTGACTGTTGAATTTCCTTTGTGCCGCGTTCGGTCACACAGCCTCCTTGACAGACTCATGCTGGGCATGTCTCGGTCACATAGCCCAGCACAGACAACAGAGTCTGTGTTTTTACCGGGGGCGAAGTTCTGAGCCCCGGTCTGCTGCTGAACAGGGTTACTGCAAATTCACAACTGAATTAATCCCTTTACTCGGAATTAATCATCCCCTTTCGAAATTTCAACATCTTTCTTCATTATAAAATTCTACCCCAAACGTAAATCCGAATAAATTTAGTCAAAATCTATTTCTCTTCTCGGAATTAATTGTTGTTTTTCTTTATTTGAGAAATTCCTGAATCAACTTTCTCTCTCAAAACCTCTTTTTCAAATTTTCAAATTAATTTCCAACAAATTCAAATTAATTTATTCAAAATTAATTCGTTTTACGACTAAATCAATTGACGTTACCCTACCCTTGTAAATAGGACTAAATCAATTGACGTTACCCTACCCTTGTAAATAGGAACTCCCCCTGGGCATGACATGCACAACCAGGAACTCTCAATGTGCAGCCGCCGACGCCGCCGCTGCTGCCGCTGCCTCCACCTCATCTGCTGCTTAACTCCTCAGCTGCCACTACCACCGCTTCCTCCCCCACATGGCCCAATCATCCAGCATTGATATGTCCAACATCCGCCCCGACTCCGTCGACAGCATCGCCCGCAACCTCGCAGGTGAGCAAACACCAGCACCCGATGCTGCCACTGATCTGACGACACTTCTCGGCATGGTGACATCCATCCAATCATCCATCGCCAACTTGAACACCACCATGTCGACCATCTCCGACCTCGTAGCCGCAATTGAGGGAAACTCCCCCGCCATCACGGTCGTCACCACGACCGCACCCTCCTCCCCCGCACCACAAACCACCTCGTCCTCCATCCCACAACCCACCTCCTCCTCCGAACAGGCCTCTGCTTCAACCTCCACACCGACACCTTCTACATCCACCCCTCCAACCAGCACAACCCCCACACACCCGTCACCATCCACCACTTCTGCCACCGTTGTCACTCCCACCCCCCTCCTACCCAAGCCCTCAACCCCCGCCATCACACAATCATCCAGCATCCCCCTTCAAACTCTCACTTCATCTACCATCATCTCTACCCATCCCACCTACACCCGGGTCACCTCCTTCCCCCCAATGCTCTACCCCGCTCCAACTATCTTGCCGCCAAACGTGCTCATCCCCACCAACCCGACGACCGATTTCACTCAAGTCACGTCCTCCCCCTCTACCCTCGACTTCAACACCCTCGCCGCCTCGGTCCCCAAAGAAGGAAAGATCCCACCCTCTTTCTGCTCCAACGAGCTCCCAACCTTTTCCGGCTCACCCCATGAGGATGTTTCCTCTTCCTCACCCAACTCCACCAGGCCTTTTCTCTCCAAAGCGTCCCCGTTATCCACTGGCTCCACATCGCTGGAACCAGACTCCTAGGCACCGCCGCTTGATGGTGGTACACCAAAATGACAAACTGCACCCACGCCAGCCTCTCACCCTATTCCTTCCTTGAATGGGCTTCCTTGCTCACCTCTACCTTTCAGGCAAAGAAAACCGTCGATGACTACATTGACCAATTCTTCTGGATGCGCCAAGACGGGCCGACCGACCGTTTCGTACAAATACGTATGCGTCCTACGCCAACACATTCCTATTTACTTCATAAGCGACACCGTCTTCATCTCCCGTGTCAAATGAGTATGCCGCAAGGATCTTGCAGCCACCCTCGTCCGCAAACCCTCAATGCCCCTCTACAACCTCCTTAACCATTGCCTCCAAATCGACCGACTCCTCACCCCCTACAAAAATGCCGTCACCTCCAGCCCACACCGCCCCCGATTCTTTCACAACATAACAAACGAGACCCCCCTCTCCACCACCTCAGACGAATTCACCACCTCAGACAAATTCACCACCTCTGACCCCAACACTGACTCCCTATACGACACCATGGACACCGACACTTCCCCCGACGAGCTCTCTGCCATTCATCTCATGCGAATGGAAAAGAGAGAACGCTCTAGCCACCCTCCTCCGAACACCCTCCCGGGCCGCCTCAAGAAACTCACACCCGAGGAAATAACCTATTTTCGGGAGAAGGGTGGTTGTTTCAGATGCCGATGATTAGGCCATCAACAGACGAGCTGTCCAAATACCACACAGTTCACAAGTCACGTACCCAGGTCCGCAGCCCCCCAACCTGCCACTTCCGCATCCGCCACTCCCGGTCCCTCCTCCACTTTAACATTGTCCCCATGATCACCACGAACCCCCCTTGGCATCGACGACTAGTCTGCCGTCCATTCCATCGGTGATGACCGGTGACCCATTTGGCATCGACAATACGTCTGCCTCCCCCCTCTCCGGTGTCGTGCATCCCACCGGACGACCCCTAGGCGTCGGAACCCTCATTGCTCGACACCCCCCCCACTGCCACATGTTCCTCAACCCTTCTTCCGAATCCATCCTCTGTCACCTTCTCTGATGTTGTTGAGGAACAACCCCGACACGATCGGCTTGTCTGATTAGGCAATGAACAACGCCGTCTCAACACCATTATCTCCACCGCCAACTCATCACGCTTCCACCTCAAATTCATCGATGTCAACCTTGGTGCGTCTATGACTAAGTTTCGGGCCCTCCTCAACATTGGAGCCACCGGTAACTTCATCACCGACGCGTGTGTCCGAAAAGTCTTACCTCTACCGGTTACGACTCCCCGATTACGATTCGTTTAGGGGACAAAGACACCGCCGTCGTAGTCAACCACACGGTTCCCAAGACCACCATAACTGTCGGAACCCTCCGCAGTCAGGTCTCATTTGATGTCATGCACTTAATGTGCGATATCGTTTTGGGAACACCGTGGCTGGACCACTACATACCATACGTGTTCCACCCCAACTTCCTCCGCCTTACCAACCTCCCTAACACAACCATCGACATTCCCTATCTCCCCTATCCCACCTCCCCAAGCTCCATCACCCCGCACCAATTCCTTCACATGGCTCGCACGAACCCTAACTCCACCTACTATTGCCTTGTCCTTGATCACGAGCGTTTTGAGGACTTGCTCGCAACGGACAAACCCGACCAGGGGCCCCCCTCCGACCCCCCTCTCACCTCCATCCTCGACGAGTTCAAGGACGTCTTCCCCGAGTCCTTGCCTGTCGGATTACCTCCGGATCGTGGTGTATTCCACACCATCGATTTGGAGCCCTGGTCACTCTCCACCTTGCCGCCCTCCGTACCAACTCTCTGTTCTGGAAGCTGAAGCAATGAAGCGGCAACTCAATGAACTCCTTGAAAAAGGATTCATTAAGCCGGGCTCATCCCCCTTTGGCACAAGCTGCCTTTTCGTAAAGAAAGGCGGAACATCAGAACTTCGAATGTGCACAGACTACTGCGCCTTGAACCGGATTACGATCAAGAACAAGTACCCCCTACCTCGGATCTCCGAGCTTCTCGATCGACTCCGTAGAGCCAAGTATTTTACCAAGATCGACCTCCGCAGTGGCTTCCACCAGATCCGCATCTGCGAGGAGGATACCCACAAGACCGCCTTCCGTTCCCGATTCGCGCACTACGAATTCCTCGTGATGCCCTTCGGACTCATGAACGCCCCCACCACATTCCAATCTACACGGAATCACATCTTCCGTGGCCTCCTCGAAGTTTGCGTCGTTGTCTACCTCGATGATATCGTCGTCTACAGCCCCACCTTCGAGTCTCACCTTCAGCATCTCCGCCAAGTCCTCTCTATCCTCAGAGAGCAAAAATTCTACACCAAGCTCAGCAAATGCACCTTTGCCGCTTCAAGCGTTGAATACCTTGGCCTCCGATGAAGGTATCCGCATGGACCCCTAGAAGGTCACCGCCCTCGTCGAGTATCCACCACCCAAGACCCTACTCCAACTTCGGTCATTTCTCGGCCTTGCCAACTACTACCGCCCCTTTATCCACAACTTCTTCGACATCTCGTACCCCCTCCACGAACTCACCCGCAAGGACGAACCCTTCACTTGGAACGACCTCCGCCAAAACGCCTTCGATGCCATCAAACAACTCATCACTACCGCCCCCGTCCTCAAGATCGCTGACCCCACTTGCCATTTCTACATCACCGACGCCTCCGACCTCGCCATTGGAGTTGTCCTGTCCTAGCATTTTCCTCGTGACCCCACCGAAACTCCCTCCATCAAGGAACCCCCTACCCACCCTGAGGCCCCACCCGGCGAATACCCCGTCGCCTTCGCCAACAAGAAACTCCTTCCCGCGGAAATGAATTACCCCTCCAACGAGGAGCTCCTCGCCGTGATCCACGTCCTCAAAGTTTGGCGCCTGTACCTCGACGGGCAATATTTCACCATCCGCACAGATAACACCATCGTCTCTTCTATCCTAACAAAGAAAGACATTACCTCACGACATGCTCGCTGGTTAGACTTTCTCGCCGAGTTCACCTTCACCATTTGCCATACACCCGACAAAAACAACCGTGTTGCCGACGCCCTCTCCCGGCGCCCCGATCACAAACCCCCTGAGAAAGTTTACGCCGCAATGACACATATCCAACTCCTCCCGTCTTTTCACCATCGCTACACCCAAGGCTATCTCTTTTGCCCACACTTCGCTGGGCTTCGAGGAAAAAGATGTCCTTACCCAAAATAATGCAGCAGCGCGCTGGCAATGAACGGGCAAAATTTCCCCAGTAAAAACAACGAGAAAAGACCCAAACCAAATTTCCTGCCCGCTACTTCTACCCTTTGCCTACAGTCTTCCCCCGAACAAAACGCACGTGCGTTGTATATGAATACAACGCACGAGGTGCGTTGTATTCGTATACAACGCACGTGCGTTATGCTACGGGTTTTGGGCATCAACTTCAGAAAACGGGCTCTCAAAAAAAATCCGGTATATGCCCATGTAGCCACGGGCCTGTCCTCGGGGCATCCGTCACAGTTGGAGTGACACACATAAATCGAGAAATTAGTCCTCATTACAAAAAAAAAGACAAAAAAAGTCTCCTGAATGAATCTTCCCATAGAAAACGGAAGTATACATCCTGCATGTGTAGAGGGGTGGAGCAAGGCCCGACTGTACGTAAACAAGAAGACCTCCACGTCAGACGGCGATAGGGAAGCCACAAAGAGAGAGAGAGAGAGAGAGAGAGAGAGAGAGAGAGAGAGAGAGAGAGAGAGAGAGAGAGAGAGAGAGAGAGAGCAGTTCGGCCTGTCATTTCTTGGAGCGTGGTGATCCCATTTTCTGGCCGGAATACTTCGAGCTGTGTCTTCGGGCAATCGTTTCTTGGAGTGTGCAGTAATCCCGTTTTCTATGGCGAATGCGGCCAGATACGGGAAGAGTCAGGGGAGGTGTGTGTGTGTGTGTGTGTGTGTGTGTGTGTGTGTGTGAAAGGTGTGTGTAAAACACGACCATCCCATTAAAAATGGGACACTAAAACCATGTCGTTTTCGTCCAAGGTTAGGTAGGGGGATGGGTACAGTTAGGTACGGGATGCATCAAGGCATAGATTAGGTAAGGAGCAGGTTAGCAGTGTTAGAGTAAGAAGGTTAGCAGGGGTTAGGAATGGGTTTGAGAACCCAACCATAGGGGGGTTGCACGCCCTAAAGCGCGCTTTTCGCCGCCTAGCACCCATAGCAGCTCATCAGAGGGATTAGCTTAGTATCGGCTCCTGTTAGCATAGGGGATGGGTGGAGGGTGTAGGGTATAGGGTAATACAATGTGGGTTTAAAAAAAAAAAAAAAGGGGGGAGAGCATTAGGGTTCCATACCTGAGAGGTCATGGTTGGTGCCGCTGGAGAGTCAGCCGTCGCCATAGCTTGTAACGAGGTCGTGCAGCGTGGTAGTCAGGTAGCTTGCCCTCAAGCTAAGCGGACTGGGCACTGTACGCGTGTCACACCAAACCCAGGCACGGGCTCAACTGTAAGATTGCGTTCCCCGAAGAGGTCGATAGAGGAGGAGGAGGGGCGCAGTGAGAGAGCCTGGCAGCAGGATCTGCGCGAGCGTAGTGCAGCGTATGCTTGCCAATAGTAGTAATCATACCCGTCTCTGAGGGCAGCTCTTGTGTGGGGTGAGCAAGCCGAGTATATATAATGTAATACGTCGAATGGAGATGGAGTAGTATGAAATAGGAGTGGCTTCATTTTGGCGAGGATGGGGTGGAGTCTTTCGTGGTTTGGGGGAAGAGGAATTTGATGCATACCTGGAGATGTTCTCTGTGGGGCGGGGGAGGAGGGGTATGGTTGTACAGTTTGTATAGTCCCAGCTATCTTCATAGATGCGAGCATGCTTGTTCGAGCACAGGCAGGGTTGGAGGGGTTCTGGCAGGGGTGATGGTTGTGTTCACGCTATCGTAGCTTTGTCGGGTAGCATGGTTTGCTTCCGCCTTTGTCTTTTCTTGTGTGTCAGTGTGTGCAGTGGTGTGGGTTCAGTCGACGTTTTTGGGAGATGGCCTGGCTATGGTGGAGGGCGGTAGCGTCACAGCGAGTTTGTCCTGTTAGCATGTTCTTTTGTCTTGCGGTGTGTCAGGTGTGTCGTTTCAATGTGGTGCCATGCGGGTAATGTTTCGGTAGAGCGTCGTTTGGGGCGAGAACGTTTTGGTCTAGATCTGGCTTATTTTGATTGTACATTTTGATTTCCCTGGGAACCGTTGACCCATAACCGAAACGTGGGGGGTGGCCTTTATGGTATATAGGTTTCTTAGCTTTGTACTGAATATGTTTGAGGCCGAGGGTCACATTTCAGGGCTGGAGGTTTGTGTGAGTTTATAAATGGGGGGTTGTAAGAGGATGCTTCAGATTTTTACTGGTTTATTATTCTGATTATTAATTATATTTATTATTATCTAATATTAATGTTATTATTATTATTTATTATAATTATTATATTTTAATTAAGAAGATTATTATTGTGTGTGTGTGTGTATGTGTGTGTGTGTGTGTGTGTATGTGTGTGTCATTATTATTATTTGTTATCACTATTATTATAAAAGAAAAAAGATTTTATTAAAAAATAGTGTATGTGTGTGTGTGTGTGTGTGTGTGAGAGAGAGAGAGAGATGCGTATTGTTCGAATAGTACACATGTGCGTACTATTTGAACATGCGTACTATTCGGATTTTCGGGAGCTACTTCGAAAAATCGAGATTTCCAGGGAAAGTTGAATAGTACATACGTGCGTTTTGTTCGGGGGAAGACTGTAGACCTACATCGGACTCCAAAGACAACAACCTAAGACTCATTTGTATCTAGATGGAAACAACAGAAAAGGGGACGTAGACCTATGATAAGGCAAAAGGAAAAGGCAGAATGGCCTAGGACTACCGAACAGAGACTACTAGTGACAGACTTTGGGATCAAGTCCCATAGGGCTCAACACTCACAAACAAAACACACAGGTTACAGGTCACGGGATCAAGTCCCGCAAGGCTCAAACAAGCAAACATCAACGAACAGGCAACACAACAAACAAAGGTTGCGGGATCAACTCTTGACAATGACGACAGGGACAAAATTAGTATACAGCCCGCTTGTAGCACTGCATTTCATTGCATTCCTACCCTCCCGGGGAGCGAGGACCCCAAGCTAGGAGTGTCCACGAGGAGACCGCCTGGGCAATTTCCCACTTTGCTCAGCCTCGTAGAACCGCACGACTGAATTTGCAAACTTGAGAAGTTCCTTTCTTGTGAACCAACGGTCCTCAGTATGAGGTTGGAAGAGGACCTTGACAAGATATTCATACTCGGGGCCAGTGCCCCATTGATCCTCGATGCTCTCGCGGTGGCCGATCAGGTAACGCGTCAGTAGGAGGGAAAGGCAGCAGTTTTGAGGCATGGAAGACAAGATAGGTCCTGATATGTGGGGTTACACCAAGTACATAGGAAGGCCCAAATTGGTCTGCTCCCAAAGTATCAAGTA